TCAGAAAGGATTAAAAAGAAAACACAGAACACTTTAGATGAACTTATGCCAATTTTAAATCAAGAAACATAAGTGGTTTTTGCAGTAAGGTTATATAAATATTATTTGCGATGATAATACAAAGATTTTTCGGTCAAAAATTTACTATAGGATGATTTTTCACCTAGTTAGGATTTTTAAGGATAATCGAGTTATATTTTTTAATCCTTCCATAGAAGATTCCCAATTTTAGTTCAAACATTGTTTATGACGACATAATAGGAACGCGAAGTAAAAACGGAAAAGGCAAAGCCGTTTGTTAAACCTTGTAGAAGCGAACCGTACGTGTAACGTGACCACTGTTTTGTGTATCGTTACCAGTTCCCAAATTACATGAGCAAAACTTGTCAAAAGCTTAAAACTTATAACAACTGAGTAGGTAGATGTCCTTCTGCATTCATTTTAGATGACATACTGAAAAACTAGGAATATTCGTTCACCCATTTCGCAGAAATTTCAAACTTTCTGACACAATCCATCATTAAACTTCCAAATAGTGTAACGGAGCCAGTGCATATTCGAATGCCTATAACTTTGAAACCCAAGGAATTATTAAAACCTTTCTTTTACAGAGACATAGATTTGACCATGCCTAATCATACCATCTAAAAAGCCCAGTTGGTTTTGAGTTATTTAATAGACATTTGATTCATATTGTAGAACAAATACATACGAATGTAACATTGCCTGTCAAATAATGCCTGTCAAATAATCGACCATATGTAGCTCGAACTTTGAGAGGTCACTCATCGGTAGAGATTGGGAGGGTCAAACGTAATTCTTGGTATATGGTTCGTTCACCATTTTTGCTCAGAATTAATCGTAGAATTTGAATTCGATATACACTTTTTTCGAGAATTTTGCTCCAAACAAATTACTCCGCCCTAATGTATACTTAAAGATCGTTTTTACTTTTTCTTTTAAATAAAATGCTATATATATTTGAAGTGTACTAAATTTTTTCAGATTTTTTTGAAAAAGTACTATAAATATCTTAGGAAATGTTAGATATTCTAGCACCTGCTGAGCGCCTTTTTTTAAAAACGAAACCGCTTAACAACAAAACGCTTATCAAAACTTTTGTTTTTGCAAACTTGGTTAAATAATAAACAATTATCCCGCCGCTACAGATACTCGTTTTATTTTATTTAAGACTATTTAAGAAGAGAATTAGAAATTTTTTATGGAAACGTGTTTTTTGTGAATACTCACTGTAAAAAAGTGCCTTAAAAATTCGATTAAGCTAATATTTCTAAATAATTGCAATTCGTTTTTTTTTGTTTGTGATTAATCATATGATTAATTGATCGATTTTAATTTAATTTTATTTGACAAGTTGATCGCAATCAGCCCTCCCCAACCAAAACTTTGTACCCGCCACTGCGCTTACAATGTATGAAACAATATGGTCGAAATTATATTGGATAGTACAAGGAATAACAATTTCAGAAAAATTATGATTTAGTGTTTCACTAAAATAGATGCCTACAGCAAATGCAAGTAGCTATGGACATTTCAAATACGCCAAAGTTTTCTTAAAAATTGTCTATAACAATCATGAAAAATATTTTAACCTTTTTATGTTTTTTTTCATATTTGTAAAAGAACTTAATTAGGAAAAAACTTATACTTAGAAATTTCTTTTGCCGAATCTCTTTAAGTTGAGAAACCGAACCTCAAAGATGTTGAAATCTAGCTCAGAATGCAGAATGTTAGAACTCGGTGTATGTATAGCTTTTGTGTTATCGGACAAGAAGCTCGGTAACTTTTTGAAAAAGGTAAAACAAAAATTGCGCACCGCCTTGGTCAAAGTTACATGAGATATGTTATTTAAAACAATGCTCAATCGAAAAAAATACAAATAATGTTAAATTTCGTTTTCCAGTTTAATTTTGCTTTATATACTCGATCCGGTCAGAGATCGATGAAAGAAAACTCTTTGAACCAATTATTGGGGTATTCACAACGGTGTCGTAAGTGTCGTATTGTTGTACGGTACCATAAAAGTCATATAATGAATTTTCGCATTGTTTAAAAATAGTTGGTTGTGGTTTCAAGACCTCTTAACATCTATTTAACCTTAAACAGTTAAATTTAATTTACGACTTACAACAATACGATACTTACGCAACCCTTGTGAATTCGCCAATTATGTTCTCCTTTTCTACCTCAACGAAGCACATCATTCTTTCAAATTTATTAAATTTTTCACTTAACTTAAATTTTCATTTCCAGGCACATTCTACGTCCAGCTAGAAGATGATATACTGGCCAAATCGCACTTTATCACTGCTATGAAGAAATTCGCTATAACAAAGAGCGCCCTAACAAAGCCCGATCAGCCGTCGTGGTTTGTACTGGACTTTTGTCAATTGGGTTTCATTGGCAAGATGTTCAAATCAGCTGAATTACCATATTTAATTACATATTTCCAAATGTTCTACAATGATAAGCCCGTAGATTGGTTGCTACTATATTTTATTGAGTCCAAAGTCTGTCGCTCTGACAAAGATCAGAAGCATTGTAATTTGGAGCGCGCCAAGTATTGGTTGCACTATCGCCCGTCACTTTTTCAACATATCGGTACCAGTTCCTCGCTCAAGGGCAAGGTTCAAAAGTTGAAGGATAAACAATTCGGCTCCAAAGTGCCAGCATTCTATCCGCATGTGCACAATCCACCAGCAAGAGTGAGATCAAATATCGTCGCCTACAAGAACTATTTGCTCAAGCGTGCATATCGCGGTGAAACGTATTTTTGGGGGTTGCTACCCCAACCTGGCGATTTGGTGCAGTTTATTTTTGAGAAGCCAACATTACTGCGTCGTTATCTCTTTCGCAGTGGCAACAGCGAGCATCCTTCGGACCGGTTCTACAACACTACCGTTGAAGTGTTACCTGCCGATTCATTGAGCGAAAACTCATCTGTATGGAGTGCGTATAATTCTACCACGGATGATTATCTTATAATTGGTGCTTTCGATGGTTTGGGTATGGCTGAGGGTGTTATTGATGTAAAAATCGGTGCCATCAAAGAGATACGTTTACATGTGCACAGCGACAGCGAAAATTGGGCACTTCTGAGCGAAATCGATTTGGAAACAAATAATGCACCCGCGGAAAGCTATACGAATAGCTGATTGTTACAACATCGGAGCTATACCATCGCTGGAAACATAAAACCGAACACGAGTTAAACGCAAATTTGTTTTATCGCTTTTCATTGACGACTTGCAGTTTACCAAACTTCCACCAGATAAATTACGTCAATAGATTAAATAACGAGAAGATGTACATATAAATGAAGTTTAACATATAAATGTGCATTGGTCCATGTGTGTAAATTCATAACTATTTAATCTCTATCGTCGCTTTAAATTGATGTGGAACACAAAAATTTAAAAACAACAAATAATGTTGTAGGATGCAAATTGAATGTAAAATTCGTAAATGCAACTAAGAATACTGCAGCATTGGTATTATAATATCCAGGTATTATTGTTGAATTGATGTTTAAGTTGTTTTCTATCCATTTGATATTAATTTAATATTTAGTTATTTACGCGTTAACCCCCAAAGTGATATTTAAAACTATTCCCGAAGTATATATCGAATATATTTATCTATCTACATATGTATTTATATTTTAACTCAATTATTATCTATTTTGTTACAACCAAAGCCATTTTTTTTACATAGTGCATAACAATTCGCTTTCAAGCTCAATAATGAAATAATTGTCTGGATTTTTTAATTAAACAATATGTATGTATCTCCTCATTGTTCATTTATTAACATTTCTTGTAAACTCCCGTGGAATATGTGGCAACACTTGTTCTTAGGGTGTTGATGATTTCCAAATGCAATGCCACGTATGAGGTGACACAAACAAAATTTTATTTTGATTACCATGACTCAATGTTAGCCTACTCTATAAAGTAAATAATAATAGGAAAAACTCATATAACGTAAGTTTAAATAGTTAGGACACCATTCAAAAAAAAAAATAAATTTTAGCAAACCATACTTTTTTGTTTCCCTGCCTACCCTTGCCTTGACAAAGTCGTTTCTCGCCAAATGGCTCTCTTTTGCTTGAAGTCGACAGTGGTTGTTGTTGTTGTCGACAGTGTTGTTGTTGTTGTAGTGTTGAGTTCCACTAACGGCAGCCCCAAGAAGCGTGCAGCCTCTATGGGGTCAGTTCATAGGGACGACACCGTTAGGGTTGTGGGGTTNTTAAATTTTAGCAAACCATACTTTTTTGTTTCCCTGCCTACCCTTGCCTTGACAAAGTCGTCATGTCAATGTCCGGTGTTTGTGTGCCTAGAACGGCATTCACAGGTCNGGACGACACCGTTAGGGTTGTGGGGTTTTCCGGGCATACGAAGAGATGTTTCGAGACGTGAGGGGTCTCTCCGCGTGCCGGACATTCGTTCGGCACATCCGCATTTAGCCTACACAGGTAGGAATTTAGCCTGCTGCAGTAGCCAGAGCTAAGTTGGGCTATAGTCATTCTGGTCTCCCGAGGCAGATGGAGCTCCGTCATGTCAATGTCCG